GCGCACGCTCTGCATGGGAGGGGGGAGGAGGGGAAGTCCGGACATTGACAAATTCCCCCCGGACGCTATTTTTAACCCGAAAAAGCCGGACATGTCCGGGGGAATCCGGACGAATGGTAACCCTAGCTAAAACAAACCCATAGCTAGTTTAAAAAGCAACAACACTCCTTTTGTACATCTATAAATGGAACTTCTTATTCTTACAATGTACCATGAGAGGGAGGAATAGTGTAGAGTTTTAAGTACGGACCTCGAAGCCAGAAGACCTCATTTCTAATACCTGCCATGGCATGCTTTCCTCTGATCATGGGCGAGTCAATTACATGTACACCACATGAGACACTGTGATCGAGGAGGCCGGAGGACTTTTGCAGAACTAGGCCAGTAGACAGATCTAAGAGCCACTAGATGTTGGCAAATTGGGGGAAATGGAGGCAGAAGAGGATAAATGACTCCCCCATCTGTAAGAGGATAAGATTTCTTACTAACCACTCAACAACACTCTCAGAGCTACATAATGTGGCTGGTTGATGTGTCTCCATCCCCCATCTCATTACAGTCTAGTGACAGATGAGCTTGTGCTGTATTCAGAGCCATTGCAAAGATATTTGACATTATTTTAAACTATGTGGAGGGAACCTGTATACTATAGTTATAAGTGCTGTAAATACTGTAATAAACTCAGTTTTATTTCCCATGATCATCCAATAATTGAACCCAAATAAATGTTTTGAGATACAGCTTTAGAATTCACTTTGCCAGGTGCATATATCCTTGGACAATAGTGTATCTATGGCACCTCAAAAAACTTTTTCCAGTTTCTGGACTCCTTTAAAACCTCAGTTTATGCGTACCTGTTGGCATGAACCTTTTCATTACTGATCATTGGACCAGCAATATCCAGAAAAGTGAAAGGTCATAGTGTAGGAACAGACAGTTCTATTCAGCACCATAGAACATATCTCAGTCCAATATAAATATCCCTCTACAATAAAAACTTCTTGAAGGTGCAGAGGAATGGTATGAAGCCTATTAGCCATTTAAAAAACAAAAAACCCTTCCTGACCAATCCCAAAGCCACAGCAGCTCTGCCTTCAGTTGGAATAGTCCATTAGGTTCACTAGACTCTCCAAGTGTGTTCTAGTTAGCGAGCTTTTCTTAACTACATTTCCTCTTACAGATCAGCCTTGAAGGATGACCTTACTCACATGTGAAATGTTATTGCTCATTTACGTTAAAAGAGGGATTGGTAACCAGCTTTACCAGTTCAGACCCAGCCTAAACTGTTAGTGAATTTAAGTGATTGCCATGTGATGGCTGGTTGACTTCAATCCAGTTCCGAAGGGGCAATTTCCTCATTCCAAACCACCCCTATTTGGCAAACTTGTGGCCTCATCAGAGGACAAGAATTGAACTACAGTCTGACACTAGAGGGGGTCCTTCCAGATCAGGAATGAGATGTTTGTTTTGCTGCTGCCACTTCAGTGAATAAATACGGCCTCAGGCTCCAGCATTAACTCACACACACACACCTAAGAACAGACAAGTTCTTACAAAGAGATCGGTTTTACTGCATAAACTCCACATGGGAATGAGGTACTTGCATTCTTTCAAGGGATGACTGAGGTAATCATGCAGAGAGCTGTAAAAAGGTACATTTATATCTGTTCTAGATCATGCTGCAATGTGTTTCTCTCCCACTGGGAATAGAGCTGGAGAATACTCAGGTCTGATTATTTTCTCTACTAAATATATAATCCTCATTCTTCCCATTAGAGAAATAGACTTGGCAGCCATCTCATGTCTAGTGCCTAACTAGACTAAAATATAGATATCCTGCTTGGCTTGTGTGGTACATTGAGGACTGCGTTGGATCACCCCCAACAAAAGCCCTCTTGGCCACCATCTTTCTGGCACCACATCCTATGGCCAAGAAAACCTACACCCATAAACTTCAACTTTTACAAACTTCAGGGGCTGCCTCAGGACCCGGGAAGCCCTTCACCCTGCTCTTAAAGTGAGAGCTTGCCATTCAAAACTGTCCTCAATACACCACAGCTCTGAAGAATGTTAGGTCAGCGATATTGTTAATGGGATTCAATCTTTTAGCTCTAGACTAAGTCCTTAGTGACCAGAAGTAGCAATCACCTGCTGTTTGATGCTCTAAAATAAATTAACTGATTTCCATTACTTCTCAGGTGACAGGTGTTCACTATCACCCAATGTTTTGAGTGTGCAAACAACTCAACTACCCTGTTGTTCTATCTAATCTAATGGTCCCTTATTCCCGCCCTCAAAAAAAGGTGAATGTGCTGATTACATGGTTGTCAAAGTACAGAGTTCTCAGAGTGCAGCTTGCTGTGAGTTTTCTATTTAAAACTGATGGAGCACTGTAGGCAGTTGAGTTCCGTGAGATTACACTTAAAAGTAAGCACTCTACTGCTCTTGTCATATATTTTACAGCTCAAGTCCTATGTACAGAGCTATATATAACCACTTTGAATGACTGTCCCTGTTTCCAATATTTTAACACCACACAAATCAGAAATAAGCCAATTGGGAAAGTAATCACTTTAGAACTTGTGTGGGTTTTCTTTCTAGATTTGGCACTACGTTGCTAAAATTGTAATAGAGAGAATATGGAGATATTTACTCTTAGCAGGCTAGAGCAAATCTTGGTCCCCTTCCAAAACATGTAACTAATTATTTTTGAGCACTCTTCCTACACTTAATGTTTTTAATGAATTCCCTGGGTTTTTTAAGCATTCTAGCCCATTATAAAACTCAAAGGCGACGAGGAGAAAAAGAGCACATCCGTACAATTGCCCAGATCTTTTATTAGGTTCTGCATGGGCACAGCAAGTCTGATGCAGGATCAGGGCCAAAAAGAGGAAGGTAAAGTAGAGAGCCTTCCTTATTGTACAGAATCAAATAATCCAGCCAACGCTTCACTTCTATATCAGAGTATCTGATGTTGAAGTCATGCTCTGAGACTGTGTAAGCTGTTAGTTATGGAGAAAGTTAGATGAACAAGTACAAAAATAAATAAATAAATCTAGAAACCATGTGCAATAAGGCTGTTTAGAAAGTATATTTTGATGACTGATAGGTCCAGGTGTCATTATCCTACTCAGATAAAAGGGAGGCAGGAGAACTCAAAGAGAAGCTAGGATGAAAGTTGAACAGTTCTTAGGAAGGAATCCTAGCAGCAGCAAAACCCAAAAAATAGGTGGGAGCTGAACTTGCTATTGAATTGGTTAAAACTGAAGCCCAGAATTGGGTTTAAACTGGACTCTCTATGCTGTGGATGTATGTAGGACAGTAGAGGAAGGACACCTGCTCACCGCATGCAACGAAAACCCATCCCTTTACAACTTGTACTTGAAAAACAAGTCACTTAAATCATATTCCCGCAGAGAGAAGTCCAGTCATTCCTCCAATGTAAAGCTGTCCAATTTTTACCATCTGCTTCCTGATTTGGCTGAGTTTTAGGTTTCATGTTGTATTCAGTGAACACACAGGTCTACACAGAATATTGTTTTAAAGCAAGTTTTGCTTAGTAAGAGGAAACATCTTGTTAATTTCCTTTAGTCTTTGGTTTAAAGAAACCACACACACAAAATTTACCCTGTATGCGTGTCACTGTTGGGCAGCCCATTTCCAAACAGCAGTTGTCCAGAACACTTATAAATTTAGTCATCCCTAATACTAGAAAACCAAAATTGCTTTATAGTTGTCCTGAATATATTGTTACAGACTGTCCTCATTCTACCAGTTCATTTATTTCACTTCAACTCTGCAGGCTTCTATTGGCCTGGCTATCCCCCTCCACTGTTTTTGATGTAAACACTCCTGCAACTTCAATGTACAATGAACACACACACACACACACACACACACACACACAACAAACTAAAATTCAGTACACCTTAACTTTTGTAGAT